TCGGCATTCTCATGAATGTGAAGCAAAATGTGGACTACTGCAGTAGAAACAACCTATGGAGGTACCAGCACCACAGAATCTTGTAGCAGGGCAATTGAACAGCTTCATTCACTGCAGGAGGCTAGTCTTTAATGCTACGGAGTTACTTTTCTTCCAAAAAGCTACAAACACAGCTTCCAGTCTAAGTAAAATGATATTCAACATGAAAGTATTTAAAAGAGCACCTTCTCCATGTTTGTCTGTGTACTGGAATGCTTGTACTAAACGAAGTGTTTCATCCACTGATCTGCCAACAGGAAGGTCATTCATCGTGATCTGTCGAAGGATTCTCTTATCATCAATAATGAAAAGGCCTCTGTGAAAACATTTTTTTGGTGTGTGTTAGGAAACAGAACTACAGTGCTGTGTTTACACATTATTTTCTGTCTGCTAGATGGGAGGAATTTGATCTCTGCAAACACCATACAATACCACCACCTCAGAAGACTAGTAACCTACTATTCTTTACCTGGGGCATCGGATGATATGAGCTGAGGGTAAATTAAAACCAAAAAAGGATACTTCTCTGAAAACTAAGCTTTGACAGGCCCTGTCAGGGAATGTTGCCGATGCTATGACGTTACAGGGATCCCAAAAGTAACTAATCAAGTTTATGAAAGATGGATCTCTTGAGGCCATTAGTCACCCTTAGTCTTGACTCCACTTGGACTTGGGAGGTCCCTGAATAACGGCAGTTCTAGGGTATTCTGCATGTTTTCCCTGCCCTTGGTATCCACTGATGACTGCTGTTAACCAGGATATTAACCTCCACCTCTCTTCTGACTTGTTATGGCTAATTTTTTGCGTTCTTCAATATTTATTTTGTCTCTTGGCATGGATCTCCAAGTAAAAACTGCTCTCAAAGAAAAATTTCAAATGCTTCTTTAGATATAGTGAGCACTATCCCAGCAAAAAAACCCCATACTGTAACCAAGTGAAATACCTAAGTGTATGCCCTTGATCTTCCAGATATACTCCGTAATCCTTTGAAATTTGGTGTGTCAAATCTGAAAGAAGTGGAATCTTCATAGGTCCAAGTCCTCCTTGTTTTCGAGGAGTATTAATCCTTTGAAAGAAATGAGGCACAGATGTATTTTTCATGAAGATTTTTTTTTCAAAGTTAGAACTTACAAACCAGAACAGTACAGACAGAAGGATTTAGTGCAAATGACATTTTCTTTTGTTCTGCACACAAGGGATATGAATACTATTTATGGTTCAACCAAAATGTTCAGTAGATCTTTTGCAGTTTTTGGCCACATCTATTAATAATGACCTCTTTCTTATCAGTCATATTTGCTTTATACCAATGTGATCATGAATTGGGACAGCGTGATGCATTTACAGATACCTGCATCCCTATTTTTTTGTATTTGCAGTATTTTTCGGACTGAGGCATGATATCTTTCAAGCAATACATATTAAACAAGCTTCAAAGATAAAGGTACTTTCATTCACTAGGGTTAAAAAATTTTTACCACTGAAAAATATTTCTGTCAATAGCATCATGTTTTTACACTTTATGATATACTACATCGGCTAAAAATCTGAGGAGACTGTTCTTCAGCTAAAAGGGACCAATGAATAATTTTTAGTGAAAGACAAGGATAAGATACATACCATGCTAAGTGAGTGAACTTGGAGTCCACAGAACATGCCACTACTTCAGTATTTATTGCTCTGAATTCTTCAATTCTGTCACTGAAGGCGATTATCTCAGTTGGACATACAAAAGTACTAGAGAATTTAAGACAAGATAAAGTCAAAACTTCATGCAACATCCAGTAAGTTCTCTGTTTAACTTAAAATTGTGTATTTATCATAAATGTGTTATTTATGTATTAATTATAATAAATTTTTAACTTGTTTTTTATTGCTTCTTCAAGTATTTAACTGAAATGCTGCCTGACAAATCTTCCAGCCTCAGACTCTAGCTCAGTTACAAACAGTTTATTACTGAAGACGATTATAAACCTACAGTTAGATTACATTCTGGATACAAGTGTTTTTACAGTTACTTTCTTTTAGACTTTATGAATATTAAGTGGCTGAATTTAAGCACAATATGCCCTTTTTTTTTAGAAGAACATACCATAATTTGTTCTTACTGTGCATGTCTGCAGATTTTAACTTGAACTTTTTCCACTACAGAAGAAATAAAGTGGTAAAGATCCCAATTTATAGGGCCTTGAAGCTAAGGGCCAAGAGTCACCTTATTTCCTTTATAATATTAAGGTCGTTACACATCTCTGTCCTCTTTTCTTCATTTTATGGAAAAGAATGGTATTGTCTGGTAGAAAGCAGAGATGTTTTCACTCAACCAGTGAAGTTACTGCATTCCAAAGAAAGGAGGCTAACATCTTAGGATGTTACGGGATGAGTAGTTACTGCATTCCAAAGAAAGGAGGCTAATGTTAAGTGTTCTTAGGATGTTACGGGATGAGCTTAAAGGCCACCTCTTAGATACACTATATACACTCTAGAGAATATAGATGGATGCTGTCTTCTGTTTGCAGCAGTGATTTACAGCATCATACAGAATATAAAGGTTGCCTGACTGTGTACTACATACTGAAAGTTTTTTTTTTTTTTCTGTGGAGACACACAAGCAGACACACTTGTTTGGACAAAGATTGTGTTACAATTTTAGCAATGAATGATGAAAACACAGATGCAAAGAATATATTTTCTTCTGTCATTCCCTTACTAAACAAAAAATCAAGACCTCAAAAAAAGAGAAAAATTAATGAATTACAAGTCTAGTGTAGCTGCACTCAAGTCATGGTATGTCTACTGTGGTCTTACTTACAAGTCAAGAGGATAGAAGAAGAAGACGAGGTATTTTCCTTCATAATCTGTTAATTTCAGCTCTTTAAACTCTCCATTAATGACTGCTGTTCCTTCCCAGTAAGGTGCTGGCTTGGAGACTGAAATACAAAGAACGTGCAGTTAAAAGTCAGAATACAAGGCACGTGTTCAAACAAGGCTGTTCATTAGCTAGCTTGTGTGCAAGGACAACTGTTCTTCCTCTTGCTTCAAAAACAACCTACTGCACACAGTCACAAAATGAAACTTTCCTACCACTTTAAACAGTTCACAGCTGGCAGAAGTTACAGAATGACGAAGAAAGGTAGGTTTCAGTACACACGGAAAGTAAATAATTTGACCAACTTGTCAAATGGGCCCTTTGAATCACTGATAATCAAGGCCACACAAACCTTATCTGAGCATATCGAACGAAGCACATGTGCACTGCCAGCTCCTGGCAGAACATCTGTTAGACTGAAGGAGAAGCTGTTTAAGACTTTAGGAACCCTCAGTATTTTGTTATGAATAGCTGTTGCAAACTAGAAGCATAAGATGGTTCAAATTCACATTGTTAGATTTTAGCCATAAAAATCTATTTGGAATTCAAGTCCACAAAAAAATATATGCTACAGCATGTTTAGAGAAAATGCCTAAAAACACAGGGTATATTTATTCAATTACAATGCCTAAGCAAATTGTAGCTTGAAAATAGTTGTGTTTAAAAAAAAAATCAAATTAAAACACAACAAATGTATTTACTATTCCTATCAAAAGGGATTAACCTTGAATTTAAAACACTAAAAATATTCTGCCGGGTACTATTTTCATAGTAATGTGAATTCTGAGACAAAGGATAGGGTATGCTGGAGATACAAGGTAATCGGAATACACTTGTGATGTCAAGGACACTGACACACAGCCCCAAGAAATTAGGGAAATGCTGCTGAGAAGAATATAAAGAATCTTATTATTATCTGGATGAAGGCTGTGTTGTTGGTCTCTCCTTTTCTTAGGAGAACCCACAGTTGCAGAATATCATTAGCAAGGATCTACAACAACGACTGCAAAAAATACCCCAAATCATCAGACGTGTTGTGCCCCTGTGTGGGAGGGCAGCCTGCTTTGGTTTCACTTGATATAACCCACAAGTGACGCAGTAATACAAGTACAGAGAGTCGCTAGGTATGGCTGATAATTTCAGTTTACATTTTTTTAAGAAGTGCTCTTCTTCCTCTCAAGTCTGCAGAATTCTTTCTGACCAGATTTCAAGCTCCAGACTTGTAACTTTTTTCTAAATTAGTCTTCCTAGGTATGGGGCTGTTTTCAAGTGAGGGCAAGGATTAATCTTCAAGTTATTTTGAGCTGTCCACAAAGTTTCAAATGTTGCTCTTTCCAAAACAGTGGCACACCTAATCTCTTTGCAGCAAAACATTCTTTTCAACTGACCTTCAGACTACTAGGGAGAAGGAAAAGAAAGTAAATAAGATATGTTGTATCTTGACCCATTTTTAAATTAAGGTGATATTTTTGGTTTAAAAATACTTGTCTAAAATGCTGTAATGACTCACATTAAAAAGGGAAGAAAAAACAAACAAAATTGGTTACACATATCTTGACAGGTTTTCCATTTTTCTCAGAGCATCTGTTTGCAACTGTTCATAGCGGAAGTTATGCCCTGGCTTGGTAGAAGAAAAGGACTTAAAGCTCTAAGCAAAGATAATTTTTATGTGACTTCTCTCTCCTTTCTGCACTCTACAAAACCAGGACTTTCGGAGAGCATCTGAGCACTTGAACAGGTGCCCCTGAACATCTCCCTTTGACTCAATTAAAGACGTTTGCACCTAGGTCTGCCATAAAGCATCTGCATCACAAGAGAGGGCAGGCACAAAAGCAGGTGAGCAACCAAGCCCAGTACAAAGCCGTAAGAACTCTGAGAAGTGCCCCTTCAGCGTTTCTAACCACCGTGTCAGCACAAGGCATCTCTGCACATCGTCCAAAGCGTTTCCCTTTTGCCATTTCGGGTACCACAGACCTTACTCAACGTCTGTGACACGTTAAACTCCCTGTCAATGTACCACGACGAAGATGCGGGTCTGGCATCCGCAGGGACACGGCTGCTCTTGGCGCAGATGGCGGGCAGCGCCGCTAGGCCGCCGGCTGGGGAAGGGCCCCCC